ATCCCAGAGGACACACAACTGTGTAGTCACACAGGCTGCCTCGGAAATTTCAGGGTGTTGGAAACAAAGTTGGACGGGTGCAAACAGCTACTTTGGGGGGGAGGCATGAGAGGGTACAGTGCTTACAATGGCACTTTGGACAATACCCAGTATCTTGTTTTAGGGCACTGTCTTGAGCTATAGAGAGAGGGGTGAGATAAATGCTTTAATCGGTGAGTTAATTTATTCAATAATAAATGCCTTTGTTTTCATTGCTCTAAATTTTACCGCAGCCGTGGGTGGGAGGGGTGCAAGGTTGTTTTGGGAGGGAGGAAATCTTCCTTTATGACTTATCTGCGTCGTCTGAAAGAATAACTTAATGCCAGTTAATTTAAAAAACGATACGTTCAGTGAAATATCTCATTAAAGGCTGGAAGTTGACATCCTTCAACTTGTTAATGATGATCTCAATTAATAACCGCTTGAGAGAGAAAAAAAATGGAAACTGGAAAACAGAAGAAAAGGGAGCAGGGGAGGGAAGAGCCCCTTTGCTTACTCACGAAACCTGTCAAATGACATTGTTGGGCACACACCAGAGATGATGAGGTGCCAGACAGTAACTGTCGGTACAAATCACTAGAGTTGCCAGGTCCCTCCTGGCACTGGAGGAGGATTTTGGGGACCTAGGTCCTGTTGCTGTCATCACACAGGAAGTGATGTCATCACGCCAACGACTTCCAGGCAACACTCTGGTATTTGGGCAAAAAACTCTGTGACAAAAATGTCTTCTACCATGGAGCTTTTGCCCAAATACCAGACCATCACCCAGAAATCACTAGCCTGATGATGTCACTTCCTGTGCAACACTGTCATCATGGCCTAAGCCTTCTTCTTTAAATTGGGAAGTCCCCTCGCCAGCCAGCTGATCGATAGCTGGGGGGAAGGGCCTGGCAGCAGGGGACCCTGCCTCGACTGGGTGTGTGTGGCTACCCTAGGAATCACATTGACGGAGTCTTCAGAGATTCCAGTTTCTCTCACCACGTGCGAAAGTGCCGTCAAGTCACTTCCGAGCCATGGTGAGCATATGAATTCCTGTCCTACAAAATGTCCTCTTGTTAACAGCCTTGTAGGGTTGCCTAGTCAAAATGTCTTACTGGTAGGGGAGCCTCGCCGGGCTCCGGGAGCCGTTCTTCGATCACCGGAAGTGACGGCCATCATGTTGAAGGCGTGGCCCCGATCGTCAGAGGGAAAACCATAGAGTTTTCCCTCCGACGATCAGGGCCACGCCCCCAACGTGATTGACGTGGTTGCGTCACCTCTGGTGACGCAGCCACACTGCGCTTCGGGGGCGGAGTTCCCCACGCGGCCCGATTCCCCGGAGGCTGGCATCTCTACAACACACCACACAGCAGCCCCGTAGCTAGGGAATTCTTTGGGAGGGGGCCTTGGGGGGGCCCGCCAGCTAATTAAATGGAAGTACAGTGCAGGTAGTAAGTTGGAGCACTTTGGGGGCAGCCCCGGAGGGAGGAGGCCCAGAAGAAACACAAGGGGGCTGGGCCCCATGGGCCCCATGTTAGCTACGGGCCTGCCACAAAGAGGAACATATTTATTGGAGGACCCCCCCCCAAAGAAACATGGAGGGACATTTTCTTTCTGGGGATAGTGGCAAGTTCACCAGCACCAAAGGATGGATTGGCCGTGGAAGGCGGACGGCTAATGAACATAACCCTATAGCTACATTTGCAGTTAAGCCTGGCACTAATGCGGCCCTGTAACAGATGCAACGGCAATTTGTGAGTCATTTGCTACCCCATTACTGCTTAATGAAATCTAACATATCACATTAACAATATGGATAAACACTCATTCCTGATATGTGGCATTTGGCTGTTTTCATTACCGCAGTAATTAACACTTGAAATATTATTTCAATAAATATTTAAGGTGCTTCAGGAAATTGTGGGTGGGGGGGAATAAATAACCGGGTCACTGCCATCACGACACAGAATCGAGTTACAACAACAACAACAACAACAAAGAAAAATGACATGCCAATTCTTTGTCTTAGAGGCTCTTGTGATATGTTAATGCCACCACTTACCACTATACACAGTTTTAATTTATTCATTTGAAGGAGGAAAAAAAATAGATTTTTGGTGGGAGATGCCCATACTCCAAAGTACCTTTGTCCATTTAAAAGGAAGGAGTCCAGTAATTGAATTCCCCTTGTAAGGCAGTAATACAGGGCCATGTTTGGTTAAGTTCAGTAGCATTCCTGAGTTGTGATTTTTAAAATTTGGGTTTTATGTGTTCAATCGTTTTATTTTGTGCACCTCCTTGAGCTCCGTAAGGAAGAAAGGAGGCGAATAAAAGATTCAAATAAACGAACAGTGATTGCAAAGTCAGATGTGCATGGCAGTGCAAATACAAATGCACAGGTCTTTATCCTGTCTGTGAAACTGAAACAACAGCACAAGCTTTATGCATGACTGTGAAGAGAAAGCAGTATTCCAAAGAGGATGTAAAAAAAAAAGAAGAAGAAGAATAAACCCACCAGGCCCCCAGATATAAACAACTGAACCGCATGATGTTTCTAACTTCTTCTACAGAAGTGATATTTATCCGGTGTCTAATATCTTTTTTTACAAGCATGTGGTGAAGATGGAGGGGGGAATATCGTGTATACCGATGGGTGTTCCTTTTCTCAAAAAAAATAAAATCCGAACACATCAAACTGTGTCTCATGCCATGATTGCTTAAAGTAATGCATGGATGTGGATAAAATGAATGCAATCCAAGCTGGGTGGGGGTGCCTCCTCGCAGAGTCTTATTCCAAATCACCGGACTATTCAAATTGCAAGAAAAAGTCTGAATGCGATGTAATTTGACAGTGGAGGAAGGTACCATCATGCCCACGAGAGGTTTTTATATATATATATATATATATTCCAAGGGTTTATCTTATCAAGCACAATTTTTAAGAGCTGGTAACTTTTTGTATATTTCTCTCTCTGATTTCTTTAGGGCCAGGAGGGAGGTGACAACAGTCCTCCATAACAACAACAAAAAGCCCCTATATGCCTGTGTGTGTGTGCGTGTGCGTGCGTGTGGTTAAATGCCATCTGCACTGCAATGTTCTAAACATTTGTTCCTTTTGATAAAAATGCAAATCTGGAGAGCTGTTGTATCAACATATAACAGCCAATGTCTGACACGGTGAATTATCACAGCTGGAATTAAATTGTCTTTGAACAGCTGCTGGCAAGTAGAGCTTTCATCAATGTTTGATTCAAATGGAGGAATGAAATTCTACAGAATGAAACATCATGTTGTCATTACAGATGGGGGTTTGTGTTCATTATCACAACTAACACTGAAGCTAGTGCCAAAGCAATCTTCCCTTATCTATGGAGTCTTTTTGGGGGGAGAAGGGGGGGGGGGGAGAGAGGCGAGAGAGAGAGAGAGATGGCAGCCATTGTTTAAGAAAAAAACAACAACAATCTGTTCATAAGAACACTACATACAGTCTAACCACACTTTACTGGAACTATTTTCCCCCCCCAGTGATTTTTTTTAATCCAACAGCTTTACTGCCACCAACAAGGAACATTCCTTGCAGAAGGGAAGAGAGGTTTGCTAGCTGTGAATTAATACAAGTCCGGTGACACCTTAAAGACTACTAGCATTTATTTATTCATCCATGCTGGAATCAATGTTGTTAGTCCGTAAGGGGGCCCTGGACATCTGTTTTATTTTGCGGCAATAGACCCACACCGCTGCCCCTCTGGAAATCGGACGTGATAAGGTCAAGGCTGTCCGTGTTTTTATTAATCTTAGAAATTGTCTATCATGTTCATTCAGATGCTGAGTGCTACTCGCTGCATCTCTAACACCCACCATCCTTTCTCAGATTGTAGACTGGAGTGCAACAGAAAGAAGTTTTTAAAAGCACGCAAATCCACCGTTAAGGCATGCGCATAACAATGGAGACCAACCGTTTCCTTGGTGAAAAGGCAGCTTCGTCTAGAACTGATGTCACAATCGTTGTGCAGTATTCCTTAACTGGCTGATGTTGGGGTGGGTGGGGGGAAAGAAATGCTATTCGTAGACAGTCGGCACACCCTTCTTCCTGCAACCCCAACCCCAATCCTTAGAAGCTGGAGGCCAAATTCATCACCCCGATAACCTGGTCAGGCCCCATCAGTTCGGATCTAGTGCATCTCCTTAAACCAGCTTATTGAACACTCCCTGCTGAAGTCTCTTCCTCCGTTCACCCCAGAAAACAAAACAAAAAAACCCGATACCACCAACTGTGCTGCTTTCCCTTTGTTTTCCTAATGGTGTTAAGAACCCAAATTAAAAATAAAATGTTTGTATCCATGACCATAATTAACACATTAGCGACGGCTACACTGTTTGCTTTAAAGATGTACACTACTGTGCCTTTCATTTGTTTCCTTCTGGTTATCTTATTATATTCTGGTTATATTATTTGTTGTTGTTCTCCCATACATTTATACAGAGAGATGATAGATAGATTAGATGATAGATGATGGATGGATGATGATGATAGATAGATGATAGATGAAGATGATAGATAGATAGATAGATAGATAGATAGATAGATAGATAGATGATAGATAGATAGATAGATAGATAGATAGATAGATAGATAGATAGATAGATAGATAGATAGATAGATAGATAGATAGAAGACGGACGGACAGTGGGTAGGTGGGTAGGTAGGTAGGTAGATGATAGATTTATTTCTATTGACATGCTATGTAAGTAACAGTCTTGCCGACACCTCAATTGACTGATAATGGAGAGCTATCAGGTTATTTTCTCTCTCATTAAAGTCTTTATTTTGTGCTCCATAAAACACATACCAAAAAAAATGCAGCACCTCAACCATCATCTGTTGAAAGTCTGTAAAAAAATTCTCAAAAAAACAGCAGAATTTGGGAGCAGAAGGGGAGGGAATCGCACTCACACCCCCGTGCCCCACACATAACACCTACCTCATTCGCAGTGAGAAATGCATTATTTGCTTCCGCCATGTTCATGTAGCTGTTGTTGTTGCCAAACTGAAACAAACAAACAAAAAAATAGGAACCGGCTTTTTTAATACAGAAACAGCCTGCTACAAAGGAGCAGAAGATTTTGAACACCAAACAGAATGACCATAGTAGTGTAAGGATAAATAAACCCCCAAGTTACAAGAACTGTATCTAATACTAGTATAGTGACATAGTTCATAATATTATATTGCCAGGCTCTTGGCTGTGCTAACATATCAGACAGAGCATTGTGCCATCTGAATTTTTAATAAATACTTGGATGCGGGTGATGGAGAAAGAAACCAGAGACTACAGACGTTTCCCCACCAGCCCCAAACTTTTTAGACCTCGAAAAAATCACCACCAACAAATACCCTGGAGGGGGAACTGAATCACTTTCAGAAATGCTGAGTTTTTAATATAAACACTTCCAAAAATTCAGTGGATGTTATACAGCCAGGGGTCCCCAACCTGATGCCCATAAGCCAACACCTTTAGAAAGTGGGTTGGGCTAGATGGGCTTCGGATGGGCTGTGCAGAAATGCATCCGGTTAAACAAAGCTTTTGCCTGAAAGGTTGAAGAGGTACTGTTAGAGCTATATAAGACCTCGCTTTCAGACATTTTACTGTTGGCTCCACCTCCCGAGGCAGCCATTTTATGACTGGATCCACCTCTCGGGGCAGCCATTTTGTTATGGTGCCCACCACCCTATGTCAGAATTCCAAAAGTACCCACGGACTCAAAAAGGCTAGGGAGCCTTGTTGTACAGGAAGAATGTCAGAATTGCTTTGCTGGATCAGAGCAACAGCTGTCAGCACCCAACAATGCCCAGCCAGATGATAACGGACATTGACAAGACCACCTCCTCTGAATTCGTCAAACTCTTCTAAAAAAAAAGCTGCTTAAGAATGTTGCATGAAAGGAAGGGGGATATGACTTAACACATCTATACACATCCTTACAGCATTATTCTTCAGTTAGAACGTCTTTCACAAAGGGTAGAATGGTGCTTTCCATTTGGCATAGCATCGGAAGAACTCGCCTATTCATGTACAAATTATGGACCTCACATTGCCAAATTACTATGCTGGACATACAGGGGTACCACCACATCTGTACCACTTGTTTGGTCCAGATGCAAGAAATGGCTTCTCAGGAAAAGAAAAGAAAAAACCAATGTATCTGAGGAGATACGAAAATGCTTTCGACAGTGTTGGATCTACCATGATACGCCCACACTCGTGAACGTCTGCACCTCTCCCCCGTGGATGCAGCCATCTTCAAGGGATAAAAAGGCACGGGTAAACCACATCTATTGAGCAAACTTCAAAGGACGGCGGAAAACAGGAGGGTCTGGCGAGATCTTTTCCATGGGGTCATGAAGAGTCGGACTCGACTGTGCGACTGAACAACAACAAACCACATCTCCGCAATCCTTTCTTGAGAACAGGGGACAACTGCCCTGGATGATCACTCACTCCACACAAGTTTATATTCAGTGAATTACTCTTACCCTTGCTACGCGGAAACCAAGTTCCCTCTGCACTCTAGAAGCACCTCCTCCTATACTCACCCACTCCCTTGAGGATCCTTCTGCTCCATGTGTCCACTCCAACATAAATTATATTTTTAAATCTCACTTTTATTCCAAAGAGCACAGTCTGGCTTGCATGGTTGCCTCTCCTTCACATTCATCTGTTCACCACACAGTGGCCCAAGATCAGCCAGGGACATCAACCCGGATGGCCCAGAGTGATACTAATCACTACACCTCAATTACTTCAGTAGAGAAAAGCTGCTCCCATGTGGGGATTTTCCCCCAGGTGAACAGGGTACCTGCTCCTAGGTAGCAGGGGGCACCCTCCTCCCTATGGGGCGGTGTGCAGCAGGACCACCGGCGAGTAGTGGTGTGATGGTGTGGCAATGAGCATTGGAAACGAGCAGTGGCGGTAGCGGCGGCGAGCGGTGACAGCGGTGAATATCCGGCGCTGAGTGGTGGCTGAATCCGGGCGGAGACTAACGGATGGCGCGGTGATGTAATTACGCAGCGCGGCGGAGCCAGTAGGACGAATGCCGGAGCTGTGGTCACTGCACAGCCGCGCACCACGGGGATCCGGCCTGAGGGAGTCACTACACAAATAATACCTGCACCGGGCGCCGTCGCCAGGAGTTGGATGGAAAAAGCCCACCACGAAAAAGAAGCCAAGAAGCAAAGAACAACAACAACAAGAGAACCCTGCTGTCCGGGTGCCAGTAGGCAGTCACCTCCCCATACTATGTGGCCCTAGATAGGAATATAAATGAATAAATTGTGTAAACCGCTCCGAGCCTACGGGAAGGAGCAGTATAGAAACCGAATAAATAAATAAATAAATAAACACAACATGGTGGTGGAACTCACAGCCGACTTACGGCGACTCCTTGTAGGGTTTCCAAGGCAAGGGACATTCAGAGGTAGTTTGTCATTCCCTACCTCTGTGCAGCAACCCTTGGCTTCCTTGGTGGTCTCGCTTCCAAGCAACGTTCCCTCTCATTTCCCACACACACACACACACACTGAGCGGAGCATTTCACATCCTGAGCAAAATACAGCTGCTGTAACCAGGCCTTTTTTGGTAGAAAAAGCCCAGCAGGAACCCATTAGCATAATAGGCCACACCCAACAGCAGAAACTCATTAGCATATTAAGCCAAACCCCTGACAGCACAGCACGTTAGCATATTAGGCCACACCCCATGCCTTCCCTTGACTTGCCCGGGTGCCCCACAGCTGCGGGGAGCCCGGGCAAGACCCCCCCCCTTGAAGGAAAGGGAAGGGCAAGCTGGCCCTTGGGCAGGCTGGGGAAGGCACAGGGAGGCATTTAAACCCGCCTCGGAGCTGCCAGGGGGTTTCTCTCCAGGTCTTTCCTCTGTAGCCACGCACACAGAGGTTTTGGCAGTAGTGGGCGTGGCCAATTCTGAAGCCAGCCGGAACTCCGTTCCTGTGCGTTCCTGCCCAACAATAGCCCTGGCTGTAACCTTAAAATGGGCAATGGGCAGTGCAAGACACTGCGTGGCTCCAGTCTGCTGCTGAACAGGGGTCCCTGTGTTAATGAGTGGCCGCTCGTGTGCACAGCTTAGAGGGAACACTGTCTCCAAGTACTAACCAGAGCTGGCCCTCTTTAGCTTCCAAGATCTGATGAGATTGGGCCAGCCTGGGCCGGCAGAGCATGCCCCTGCTTTGCTGGGGAGTTTTCATACCACCCGGTGACCTTTCTGAGCATGACTCGTGGAGTTTCTGTCACTTTCCCTTTTAACGTGAAGCAATTCAGACCTCCTTTGCTCTGCCTTGAAGAGGAAATGGCACAACGCAGGGCTTTTTTCTCAAGGCAACATGCCGGAGCAGAGTCCCGGAACCTCTTCGACAAAATTCTTTTTAAAATGTTAAAAAGTTCATGAGTTTTCAGCAGGGGTCATTTCCTGCAGGAGCGCACAGGAGCGGAGCTCTGGCAGTAAAGGGCTCAAGGGGCGGGCACATGCAACAAGCCCCACCCCCTGCTCCCAGCAGCCCCCAGTCAGAGCAAGAAGCAGCCAGGTTGCAGAGGGCCCCCCCCCAGACCAAAACAGTCCAGTGGCACCTTTAAGACCAAGTTTTATTCAGGTACAAGCTCTCCCTCCTCTGCGAGGACAGATCTGCACGTGTGCCCCCCCCCAATAGCTAGCAATCCAAAACAGTCCAGTGGAGCCTGAGCGGTGGGTGTTGCCTTCTGACACACTTCCGGTGATGTCAGGGGGTGTGGCATATGCAAATAAGTTATGCTAATGAGCTCCTGCGCCTCTTTTCTATGAAATGACCCCTGGTTTTCAGTACATAGATCGAAAACTTCATTTCCCTCTTAAGAGTTAAAAAAGCAAGCCCTGGCACAACAGCTCTGCATGGAAGCTGTGCCCGCAGTCAAACCAGAGAGTGTGGGTGGAGCTTAGTGCGGTCTACAAAATGGTGGTTTTCAGCTCTGGTGCTTTTAGCCCTTTAAAAGGGTTTAAAATAAAACAAAGCCATGGTTCAAAACAAAGCTTTTCTGCCAACTCAATGAGAAGGGGGTAGGGGGGAGCATGGGACTGGGCGTGTGGATGCCGTTCCTATGCGCCTTGATCGCATTTGCTGCTGCTTCCACAGCAGGGCAGAGGGAGCTCTCCACATGGAATCAATGTCTTTGTTGTACTTCTTTTGGGAGAAAGAATGACAGAAGAAGAAGAGCCCATTTATCCATCCTGATTTCTAGAAATAAATTGTGCAGGGAAGTGAGACAGCCCTCAATATTTGTAATCCTTCTGTTTTGGGACGATTTGCTTCCCACGATAAAAACTATCGCTAGCTCAAGCCCACATGGAACGGAACTGCAACGTGCAGTGCAGGCGCATCTCTATATTTGTTCCATAGAGATGCTGGCATTTAGTAAACTTTGGTTTCCAGGAACAGAACTGTCACTGCGCGACTCTGCCAAGTGCAATGAGCAGCCAGAAGGTTTTAAGTAAAATTGAACTAGCTCCAGCTTCTCATGTTAAGCTCAGTGCCCAGCTTCTCCAGTGAAAAGGGTCAGGTAGACTTCAACCTCAGCTTGGGTCCTACCGAGAATCACAGGAGACAATACTATCCTCGCTAGACCAGTAGAAGGCAGATTCCTGTGATCTAAAGGGGAGGGGCCAAGGCTCAGTGGCAGAGCATCTGTTTTGTAGGCACAAGGTCCCAGGTTCAGCCCATGGGATTTAAAAGGCCAGGTCACAGTTGATGTGAAAGTCCTCCCCTTGAGAACCTGGAAAGCCACAACCAGTTAACATAAGAACATAAGAGACGCTAATGTTGGATCAGGCCAAAGGCCCATTCAGTCCAACACTCTGTGTCACACAGTGGCCAAAAATACCAGGTGCCATCAGGAGGTCCACCAGTGGGGCCAGGACATTAGAAGCCCTCCCACTGTTGACACCCCCAAGCACCAAGAAGACAGAGCATCCCTTGCCCCAGAGCCCCTATCTATGTCATGCCTGTTGTGACAATCTATACCTTGGGGTTAATAGCCATTGATGGACCTCTGCTCCATATGCTTATCTAATTCCCTTTTGAAGCTGTCCCGCTCCGGGGGTCGCGGCACCCGCTGACGACAGCCTTCAACCCCCGACAAGCCTGGGAGGGATGTCACAACCCGACTTACCAACGGGAGCACAGCCGGAGCCGACCAGTCGACCGTCGGGGGAGAGAGACGGCGCGGGATCATACAAGACGCCCAGTCCCGGCCGAGCAAGGAAGCGAGACTGGGGCTCGATGCGGCAGCCGGGAGGGCAGGAGCAGACGGATGCGGCATGGAGGCCGGGGGCCCCTCCCATGGGGACGGAACAGCAAGACGGGGAACGCCCCACGGGCGTCTACGCTGAAATAGGGGGGCGGGGCCCAGGTCCCGGGAGCAGAGGGGCGGTCCCGGGGAGGGAGAGGAGCAAATAAAAGGCGGGTAAAAGAGAGGGCCGGGGAGGAAGCAGCACACGCTGAAGACGAGAGAGAGAAAAAGGGAGCCCAAGAAGTGAAGGCGGAGAGAGAGAGGGAAACAGAATAAGCGTGTGGGCAGAGGGACGAAAGGGGTGCACGTCAACCCCGTCCCCTGCCGGTCTGAGGCCCTTCTCAAACCCCCCTTTTTGCTAATACCTCTCAGGCCACCTGGACCGCCCATCTAGTTGCCGCTGGACGTTACGCTCGGCACTACGGCCACTGGGGGCGCCACTCCTCGTACAAAGGGAGAACGTGACAGAAGCAGAACCAGTTGGACCAGAACCTTGACAGATTCAGTTTGGTGTAGTGGTTAAGAGCGGCGGACTCTAATCTGAAGAACCCACTCCTCCACATTCAGCCAGCTGGGTGACCTTGAGTAAGCCACAGTTCTCTCAGAGCTCTCTCAGCCCCACCTACCTCACAGGGTATCTGTTGTGGGGAGAGGAGTGGAAGGAGATTGTAAGTCACTCTGAGATGGCAGTCACACGTGCAAGATAAAGTGTGGTGGGGGGAATGAGGCTATTTGCTCCATAGGATCACACAGTCCTTGAAAGCTGCAGGCACAGCCCGCCACTGCGTGATCAGACGCAACCGCAGGTGAGTCGGGGTTCCCCCCTCCCATGTGTTTCCAGTGCGCTTCAACGAGGGATCGATGATTCGCATCTCCGTACTGAGGGCTCCCTATGCAGTGTGAGATGATGTGAATACCAAGACGGGGGGGGAGAGGCACGGAGTCGGCATGGTCTGATCAGACCACCCCGACATCATGGGAGCGCGCTAGAATGATCACACAGGGGAAAGTCCGTCCATGGCCCGTCGCAACCCGTTTGCTACTTGACTTTCCCCAGTGTCTTTTTACTCTGCTTCTGCGGCAAAGCAAAACGGGTTGCCGACGGTTGCGGGGCGCTTTCCAGATGTCCGTGTCTGATCGCGCCCTTTAAATCCAATTCCTCCTCCTCTCCTCCTCCTGACTCAGGATAAAGCAGCTTTCCTTTGTTCTTTCTTGTTTATACATATACTGTGCTGTGATTAATGTGACTTTTGAAGTTTTGCAATCCATAGTCACCGTCAGCTTTCCATAGCCCGTAGCAACCCATTTGCTACTGTGTCTTTTTACTCTGCTTCTGCGGCGAAGCAAAACGGGTTGCCAACGGTTGCGGGGCGCTTCCCAGATATCCGTGTCCGGGATGAGCCACGTGATCACCAGATTCTTAGTGGTACCAGGGAAACACTGTACCTGCTTTACTTGTACTACCAGCCACCACCCACAAGAATAAGATACATACCTCCTCATTGCTTAATCCTGCACATGCAGTCAGCCCCTGGCAAGGACCCAATGTACATGGCTATTACAAGCAGCCATTGCAAGGCCTATGCTCATGTGGCCCTGTCCGGAGCTTATGTACAAGGTCAACCAGTTCTCCTTGGACAACACTGTAAAGCTCTCATACCGAAATCAAATGCGTGTATGTAACCCAGGTGGCCGGGACCGTTGGGGGCAGGGTGTGTGGCCTTATGACACACTTCCGGTGATGTCAGGGGGTGTGGCATATGCTAATGAGTTATACTAATGAGTTCCCCTAGCTCTTTTTCTACTAAACGACCCCTGCTTGTACTACCAGCCACCACACACAAGAATAAGATACATACCTCCTCACTGCTTAATCCTGCACATGCAGTCAGCCGCTGGCAAGGACCCCAATGTACACGGCTATTACAAGCAGCCATCACAAGGCCTACGCTCATGTGGCGCTGCCCAGAGCTTATGTACAAGGTCCACCACTTCTCCTTGGACAACACTGTAAAGCTCTCTTACCGAAATCAAATGCGTGTATGTAAGCCATACAAAATAACAGCAAGCCAAAACGGCAAGAGTATACCCGTTCCTGTGCACAAACTCCATTGAATCAATGATTTGTCATCACCCAAAGTTGTCCCAGTGGTAGAGACCTGTGGTGTTGAGATGACCAGATACAACGTGAGCAAATTTTTGTAAAAATTAGATTCATCGAACTAACCTTGCAAAAACCTGTTCTGCTATCGGTGGTGCTTTCGTCCACCACATTTCTGCTGACGCAAGGGTCTCATGTGCCGGCAGAGGGCTTTCCTGTGACCAAGAAAAGCACCACCAATAGTGGAATGAAAAGGATGTGATCCAATTCACTGGACTAGTTAGTCATACCGTGATGAAGACATGAACACACGATGCTGCCTTACACTGAATCAAACCATCGGTCCATCCGGGCAGTACTGTCTACTCAAATTCTATTTCAAGATTTGTACAAGGTCAACATCTTTGGGAAACAGGCCGACGCAAAAACCTTCCTTATAACAAATTAGTATGCCTCCCCTTTGCTTCCCCTGCTGCCCTGTCGGGAGCCACACAATATGTGTGAAAGAGCGGCATGTGGCTCCCGAGTCGCAGTGTGCTGCCCCTGTATTAGACAGTGTCACTATAGCATCTGGATGCAAACCTCTTTCGCGCCATGCTCAGAGGGCCCTTTGACCCAGTTGTGATGGGTCAAGGAGTTGGTAGCCCTGAAGAAGCAGGCAGGTACACAGGCCCGATGAGATGCCATAACCAGGCAAACTTTCTGCTTCTGTCCAAGAGTTATCAACAGCCAGGTGTAGCCACCCACAATCTTTGGCCTCATATAGATAAGCCTGAGGTAACCCATAGGTGGCATTCCAATGGATAGCCAAAAGCATATTGACTAGGGTTGCCAAGTGTACTTACCCTTGCCAGGCTCTGGGAGCTCTCCGAGGACGTGCACGCGCTTTGCGCGTGTGCACCACCAGCACATCACAGGAAGTGACGTGCTATGTCGCTCACGTTGGGGGCATGGCCCAGATCGTCGTGGCCCAGATCGTGGCCCAGAACGCCCCCAATGTGAGCAACGTGGCTGCATCACCTCCGGTGACGCAGCTTCGGGGGGCGGAGTTGAGGGGGCGGAGTTCCCCCCGGGGGCCAATTCCGCCGCGGCGGAAATCGGGCCTCCAAAGCGGGGGTTTCCTCGCCCCCCGCCCCCACTTGGCAGCCCTAATATTGACTGATCACTGATCAGGATGAGAAGACAGAGATCTCAAACCAGGGAAGCATGGAAGTGAACAGAGAAGAAAGGGAGCCTCCATTTTCTGGCTGTAGGAAACGCAATAAGGCTATAATGCCAAGAAGTTAAACCGTATCAACAGCATTTCAGTAGCATCTCTAATTATCATCGAATGTACAGTAAGGTCCTTTCTGCACTTGGATCTCATCCCTGGTTCAACTCGCAATACGATACCTTGCATTTATCCCTGGTTCTAACAGCATCCATTTATCCCGGGACAAGAGTGGGGCGAAACCGGGGTGACCACAATGCAATGTGGAAACAAAAATATCCCGGGATAATTACAGGGGTGAACTCAAGTGTAGTGTAGAATGTAGGCCCCGTTCACACAGGGGATTTGCCGCACTAAAGGCCGCACTTTCGTAAGCACATGTGCACAAATGTCAGGCAGCTTTTCGGGGCGCGATCACACCGCAACATCTGGGAAGCGTAGCGCACCCATGGCCAACCCGTGGGTTCACATGGAGGATTTGCCGCACTAAAGGCATGGATGTCAGGTAGATTTTCGGGGTGCGACCACACCGCAACATCTGGGAAGCGTAGCTCACCCATGGCCAACCCGTGGCGTCCCGCCGAAGATGTGCAGTAAAAAACTACCTCGGAAAGTGCACTAGTATCTGGAAAACAAGGGGTAGGGGTGGGTGTCTGATCGCGGGGGCGCTAGTATCCCATGGCATCCGGCACCCGTCCATGTCCCATCGCAAACCGGATGTTTTTCATAAGCACATGTGCACAAACACGTAACTGAAAGCAGTGCTGCTCTGTGGAACTGCACATGCGCACAAACGTGAAACGCTTGCCGCGCCACTTCTTTGCTACACTCCAGCATCGCCGTTTGATCGCCAGCTAACAGCTTAAGTGTGATGGCTCGGGGGACCGTGTGATTGGGCTACCGCGCTTTATTTTGCTCCGGGGCAAACCGCCACGACTCCCCCCGCGTTATCTGGCCTGTGAGACCGGGGCCGTAAATTCGGGGACAGGACTGAACCAGGATTTAAGGTCTACTGCGGGATCGCCCTCTGTTGCCTTGAACTCCAGGAAGGTGGGATATAAATATTTTTAATAATAGCTACAAATAAAAACATAATTATGGTCAGAGCTGTAACTACTATGGGTAATAGTCAAATTCTTTTTGGTTTTTTTGTAAATATGGAACCGGTGAGTGTGACGCCACTAGGCCTGAACATCTGCCTAGCCCAGAACTGCCCATTCCCACCACAATGGTCCTTTCAAAAGTTTTGATCTTGAGTAACTACTATGGGTAATAGTCAAATTCTTTTTGGTTTTTATGTAAATATGGAACCGGTGAGTGTGACGCCACTTGGCCTGAACATCTGGCTAGCCCAGAACTGCCCGTTTCCACCACAATGGTCCTTTCAAAAGCTTTGATCTTGGGTCTTTCATCAGCACCGGTTATGAGAGCTACTTCAAAGGGAGATGTTGATGATTTAAACCTGGGACCTTCTGCCTGCTTGTGAACCATGCAACTCCCCACAACGCTGTGGCCTACATACAGGAATTCAGCCTTCATAAAGATATAAATGCCTGGACCCGGATGACCCAGGCTGTCCTGATCTCATCTGACCTCAGAAGCTAAGTCAGCCCTGATTAATACTTGGACGGGAGACCACCAAGGAAGTCCAGGGTTGCTATGCAGAGGCAGGCAATGGCAAACTACCTTTATTCATTTCTTGCCTTGAAAACCCTACAACAGGGGTGTCAAACATGCAGCC